CACACACGTGTGTGTGTGTATACATATATGACAGAATCACAAACCTAGTATGTGACAAAGACTAAAATTAAGCTTAGATGTATATATTTATAAAAGTAGTATCTATTTATAAAAATCTATGTATACATATACATGTATATATTTATAAATATACATGTATACATTTATAAAGGTACATACATATATTGTTCAGTGCTCTTGTGAATTTTTCTCTTCAGCGATTATACTTTCAAATCCAGAGTTTTCATTTGGTTCTTATTTGTATTTATTTGTAGTATGTACCTTTAGTGATGTTTTTCATTTAGCATAATTTTCAAGAGATTGATTTAGAGTGTATGTTTCTATCAATGGTTTGTCCCTTTTCATTGTTGAGTAGTATTTCAAGTTATAGATATACTACAGTTTAAGTAGTCCCTTCTTGAAGGAAATTTTGGTGGTTTTGTGTTTGTGTATGTGTGTGTGACAAAGTTTCACTCCTGTTGCCCAGGCTGGAGTACACTGGTGTGATCCCAGCTCACTGCAACCTCTGTCTCCCAGGTTCAAGTGATTATCCTTCCTCGGCCTCCCGAGTAGCTGGGATTACAGATGTGTGCCACCATGCATGGCTAATTTTGTATTTTTAGTAGAGATGGGGTTTCATCATGTCAGGCTGGTCTTGAATACCTGACCTCTGGCGATCTGCCTGCCTCGGCCTCCCAAAGTGCTGCAATTACAGGCTTGAGCCACCATGCCTAGCCTCTAGTTTTTGATTATTTTAAATGAAGACAATTTAAAAATCTTTGAGATTGAATTCTTAGTTGACAAGATTTGTTTTGTTTTTTGAGCACTGGATGTGTTATCCCACCGCTTTTTAGTCTTCATTGTTTCCTTGAAAAGTCAGCTGTTAAACTTATTGGGGCTGACTTGTAAATAATGAGCCATTTTTTTCTTTTGATGCTTTCAAAATTTCTTCATTGTGTTTGACTTTCAGCATTTTTAGTATGTTGTGTCTTTTTATGCATCTCTTTGCATTTTTCCTACGTGAAATTCGTTGAGCTTCCTAGATATGTAGCTTTATGTTTTTCAGTAAATTTGGAAAGTATTCTGCCAGTATTTCCTCAAATATTTTTTGTTTGTTTATTTCCTTTCTCTTTGTTCTTTCTTCCTGGTACTCCCATTACACCAGTTTTGGCATGTTTAATTGTGCCTCACATTGCTCTGAGGCTCTATTTCTTTTCATTGTTTTTTCTTTTTTTCCTTTGAATTGCATAATCTTTATCACTCTAACTTCAAGTTCATTAGTTTTTTAATTCCTGTTATTTCAAATTTATTGTTGAGTGCTCTTGTAAATTTTTCTCATCAGTGATTATACTTTCAACTCCAAAGTTTTCATTTGGTTTTTATTTATCATTTTTCTCTCTCTGTTAGTATTCTGTATTTGATGTGATATTGTTATATATCTTCTTTTATTTCTTTAATGGTGATTTTCTTTAGATCTTCAAATATATTTACAATGGTTACTTTGAAGTCTGTATTTTAGATATGGCATTTAGTCACATTCTCACAGACAGTTTTTGTTGTCTTTTTTTTTTTTAATATGGGTCATAGTTTTCTGTTTCTTTGCATAATTTATATTTTACATTGGAAACTGAAATTTTGTATACTATATTGTAGAAACTCTGGTCACTGGTCTTTCTCCCCTCTCTCTTCATTAAGTCTTGTTTTAATTATTTGCTTGTTTACTTGTTCAGTGACTGGCTGGATTGTTTCAGTAAAGTCTATCCTCTCGTATACTTCCGCAGTATTAAGCCTTTAATGTTGCTTTTCAGAAGACACACATAGTGACAATAATTTTGGCAGAGCTTATGTTGTCCCCTTTCCTAAATACATCCAGCTTTTCATCTAATAATTGCCAGCTGATTGCTCCATTGTTTAAAAAATGTCCTAGAACATAAATTTCTCTACCGAATAATTCAATAAAATTCAGACTTCTTTGAAGGAATAGTTACTGACATCAGTGTTTGTGATTTGTTATTACCCCAAGAGGGCTACTCCTGGCTCGCTCTTTTTCCTGTTTAGAGGACATATTAAATGATCTTCAGGTAGAACAGTCTATTCTGAGGATGCCAGCCAAGAATATGGGTAAATCCTATAGTGATCTTATGTGGATACTGTATCTCCTGAGTGCTCCCATAAATCTGTATAAGCCTTCATTCATGTTTCATCATAATTTCTTAGCCTCCCCACCAGTAGAATATAAGTTTTTTGAGAGCAGAAAATATATCTTATGTGTTTTGTTTTCCCCATGGTTAGTGTAGTGTCTTGAATACAATGAATGACTCGTATATGTAGAAGAGACAAATGGACATTTTTTCCACAAAAAAAGCACTCCACATTTAGATGCAGAACAGAATTTACCTCTTATTTTGTTTCTTCATTAATGTCTTACTATATTGCTTATTGACACTAGAGAATATTTTCATTTCTTCCTATTAAAGAAATTTCTTGGTATAAAAATTTAGAAAACCCTAATGAGAAATTGGGTCAGAGACAAAGTCTTGAATTATATATATTAGATTATAGAAGAAAGATACGATATAAAAAGAAAAAAAGAGTTTCACATGCATGCTGAAGTATATAGCTATAGTTTATTCATTTTTATTACTGCCACTAAGAAATAATTATGGCATACATGAATATGCCATAATTTTTCTATCCATTCTGTAGTAATTAGCTGAATAATTTTCAGCTTTTGCCATTTTGCAAATTCTGTGTTTAAGGACATCTATGTATGTCTTAGGATGCACATGTGCATACTATTCTTTAGGGCATACACCTAAGAGTAGGAAAGTTTAACCACAGGTTACGAGTATCTCCAAAATAAGTTTATAATACCAGGCTGTTTTCTAAAATGACTGAACAATTATACACTCTTATTAAGAGCACTGAAGAGTTCTTGTTGCTTTATGTTTCTTTTTTCACACTCGTTAATACAGCCTTTTAATCTTAACCATTCAAGTGAGTTTGTGATAGTACTTCACTGGGGTTTTAATGTTCATTTTCATGCTTACTAATGAGATCAAGCACGTTTTAAGGTATTTACTGAACAGCTGAATATTCTCTTTTATAAAGGATCTATTTGCATCTCTTAGAAATTTTTCCTTTGTCTTTTTATTGAGGATTTTATTTCTTCTAGAAATTATTTATACAGTCATAAACTACACAATGATGTTTTGGTCAGTGACAGACCACACAGACCATGGTGGTTCCACAGATTATAATACCATATTTCTACTGTGCCTTTTCTATGCTTAGATATGTTTAGATACATAAACACCATTGTGTTAGAATTGCTTACAGTATTCAGTACAGTAACATACTGTACATGTTTGTAACCTAGGAGCATTAGGCTATATCATACAGTCTACCTGCGGAGTAGGTTTGTGTAAGTACATTCTGCGATGTTTACACAATGACAAAATCACAAAATTACATATTACTCAGAATATACTCTCATTGTTAAGTGACAGATGACCGTACACACCAAATGAGGGCCTTTGCCAGTTACATGTTACAGACTTTTTTCTCTTTCCGTGCATTGCTTTGTTTAATCCTTACATTATAAAATAAAGTGTAAACACAGAAAATTATCTAAACAAATACATAGCTTATTTAATCTCTCATAGGCAAAACCCCTTGCAATTACTACCTAGACCAAGGAAAAGCCCATCAGGAGCTGTTGCCATGTGCCTCCTGTCCTGCTCATCACAGACTCCTTCTAAAAGGAATCATCATTCTAAATTTCATACTTATCACTCTCTGAAATTTCTTTATAGCTATATTATTTGGCTTTCTTTTCCACTCTGTCAATAATGTCTTTTTGATGAATAAAATGTCCCAATTTTGATTTAATCAGCCTTTTTCCTTTTAGTTAAAAATTTTACACACAGTTTAAACAGTATTTTCTATCCCAAGTTAGTGAAAATATCTTCTTATATTATGTTTAAAAGTTTTACAGTTTCACTTTTCAAATTTAGTTTTTGATTTTTAGAAATTGATTATTTTTTCCAGATTTTGTTTTTCCCATATGGATATGCTATTTTCCTAGTACCAGTTATATTGAATGTGTATCATTTTCTCACTGTTCTGCAATGCTTTATTTGTCATAAAGCAAGTGCCCATATGTGCATGAGTCTTTAGGTATTTTCAGCTTCCATTTAGTTGCTTATTTCTGGCAACTAGCAATCCCCACCACAGTCACTATATCAGGCACAAGCAGGCTAATTGGTCCAAATTTAGGTTCAGGATCTTGAGTCTAGACTTGACGTAATATCCCCTGCATCCACCATAAGGGAGTAAATAGTATTTATTTTTGAGATGTTTAGCTTCCCTAGATTAAACAACCAATTGTCAGGAGTGGAACCAAAGTAAAAGAAGATTCTTGCTACTAAGTAATGGCTGCAGATTGAAGGTAGCAGAGATTTTTGTCTGTACATGCATCATGAAAATAATCCCAAAGAAAGAGAGTCATCGTCAGGGGTAAACTTAATCAGTTAATGTGCATAATAAGTTTATCCATTATTTCATTTATTCAATAGCATTCCCATAAGTAAAAGAACTCAAAATTACATCAATACGCTTATATATCTTGTCAGAAATCATTTGTCTTATGGAAGGTACATACCAGTGCTTCATAATTTTGCCTAAAAATTCCTTAACTTTTATTATTATTATTATTTGAAATTGAGTTTTGCTTTTGTCACCCAGGCTGGAGTGAAATGGCGCGGTCTCCATTCACTGTAACCTCTGCCTCCTGGGTTCAGGCGATTCTCCTGCCTCAGCCTCCCGAGTAGCTGGGACTACAGGCGCCCACCACCATGCCTGGTTAACTTTTGTATTTTTGGTAGAGACAAAGTTTTACCATGTTGGCCAGACTGGTCTCAAACTCCTGGCCTCAAGTGATCCTCCCATCTCGTCTTCCCAAAGTGCTGGAATTACAAGTATGAGCCACCAGGCATGGCTGACAGCTTTAGATATTTTAAAACATCTCTCAATGCAGTGGTTTTATATGCTTTTTTTTTCCTTCCACACTCTTTACCCAATTAATGAATATTCAGGACACATGGAAGTTGATTATTAGAATCCTATATCTGCAGGGGCATTCTTCTTCTGACACTGGATAGCAGAGGGTTGGACAACTTCTCTTAACAAGCTAGCTGCCTGTGATGACTTAGTTCCCAGTCTCTGTTACTTGCTGCTTATATCCCAACCTCTGGAACAAGGCAAGTGGTTTAGGCTTCCCCAGGTGTCATAGGATAAATGCCCTCATTGAATTCTGGGGACACTGAGCCATGCTTCAAACAAGCAGCAACAACCTAAGATTATTTTTTCAAGGCAACTGTGTTTCCCATCATTCTTCTGAAAGCATTTTTCATGTCCTTATTCCTCAGGCTGAATATGATGGGGCTGAGGAACGGGGTAATGACAGTATAAGGGACTGCTATGAGTGTGTCATCTCCTCCTGAGGCTTCTGGCTTCAAATAAACGATAGATGCAAAACCAAAGTGGATGATAACCACTGTGAGGTGGGAGGCACAGGTGGAGAAAGCCTTCTGCTTGCCTTCAGTGGAAGGGATCCTGAGGACAGTGGAAATAATGAAGACATAAGTCAGGATAATGAGCAGGAAGGTACCCAGCAAGCCGGACACTGAGATCAGTGTTACAATGAATTCCGTGAGGCTACTGTCTATGCAGGACAGCCTAACAACTGCCCGCATATGGCAGAAGAAGTGTTTGACAAGGCTGGGTCTGCAGAAAGAGTTCCTGAATATCAGTGCAGTCTCTGTAAGAGAGACAAAGAAGCCTCCAGTGCAAGCAGAGGCCACAAGTTTGCCACATACAATGTTGGTCATAAGCAGTGGATATCTTAGAGGGTTACAGATGGCCAGGAAACGGTCATATCCCATCAAAGTGAGGATGATACAGTTTGTGCCACCAAGACCCAAGAAGAAACACATCTGTAAGCTACAACCTATGACTGAAATGCTTCTGTCCTTGGCCAGTAGATCTTCCAGCATCTTGGGGATGATAGTCAGTGTGTAGCAGGTCTCAGAGAAGGACAGTGCACTAAGGAAGAGATACATAGGGGTGTGGAGGTACCTGTCCACCCAAGTTAGACCCATGATGGTCAGATTACCTGCAAGGGTGAGAAGGTAGAGACAAAAGAAGACCACAAAAAGAAATGTCTGTACATGTGGGTACACAGAAAAGCCAATAAGAATGAATTCCTTCAGGATTGTCTGGTTGCTCTTCATTGTTTGAATGTCTGAAATTTGAAAGAAACAACAACAAACATTCAACTCCATTATCTTTTGATATCATCAGATGAAAATTGTGATGACTAAGACAAATCATCAGAATTATAATTACCAACCGCTTTTTCATGCAGTTTAGCAAAACCATGTATATGTAGGTAATGTGTTTTTCCCATTTTCCAGTCACTCATTTATTTTCTTTATTCAAAAACTAATTAGTGACGGCTTAGTATATGACAAGAAGGCTTGCTCTGGCCAATTTTTAAAAGGATTTTTTTTTTTTAGGCAGGTGATATAATGTGGGAAGAAGCACTCTGGTTAATGCTCAGATGAAAGAGATTCAGATACATTAGGTGAGCCTTATTTGGATGAGCTTCTGAACACTGAGAAAACTTTTAAGTGGCTAATAGGCAGAGTCAGGGTCCAACATAGAAACTTCCACACAATGTGTGGTCTATAAATATTTACTATGCAAATATTGAGAATTGATTTCCAAATAATTTTAGGACAAAACTTGGACAATGACTTGCAATTGTTGGAGAAGCCCAAAGTCATTACCCCTTCTTGGAGAATATATTTAGGTCCTAGAATTTTAAAGGAAAGTAAAAAACATGTTTCATTCTTTCTATTTTGAGAAGAGGGAAAGAAGAAAGATAGGGCACCCTAGGATCCTTAGGATTGACAGTAATTAATTAGAATCTGTAAATGGTTTTGATAAACAGACTGTACAAGCATAGTGCAGGTGTCAATTGAGATTGTGTCTATTTTGCTCAGGCCAGGTGCGGTGGCTCACGCCTATAATCCCAGCACTTTGGAAGGCCAAGGAGGATGGATCACGAAGTCAAGAGATCAAGACCGTCCTGGTCAACATGGTGAAACCCCGTCTCTACTGAAAATACAAAAATTAGCTGGGCATGGTGGCGCATGCCTGTAGTCCCAGCTACTCGGGAGGCTAAGGCAGGAGAATTGCTTGAACCCAGGAGGCGGAGGTTGTGGTGAGCCGAGATCGCGCCATTGCACTCCAGCCTGGGTAACAAGAGCGAAACTCCGTCTAAAAAAAAAAAAAAAAGATTGTGTCTATTTTGTTGATTCCAAGCTCAGCCTTCAAAGAAAGTAAGTGCATTTACTAATTGTATAAATTTTCCAATAATGCTACATCTGATTTAATCTCATACTTCTCTGATTTCTATAACATGTTTTTTGTCCTTATATTTAATACATTGTTTCAGCCCTGTAGTATATTGAACTACTATTTTTCCTGCTCCATATGTCAATATATTTAATAACTAGCATTTATAGGGTTTATATTTTTCCAAATTCTTTCAAATATTTATTGATTTTACTCTTCACAGCATAAAGTGCATGGGACAGCTGTGAAATGGGTAGGACAAGTGTGATTACTTATTCTAGAAATAAAATTAAGTCTCAGATGTGGCCTATTTGTGACTAGAAGCAAACAGTTTTGACTTGAATTGTATGTTCCTTTCATTTATCAATGCTTATCAAGTCAGCATGAGTTTCTTTAGTTTCTAAATCTACTTCCAGATGATTGTTTCACTTTTCTCTATGCATTCTGCTGCATTTTCAATGATTTCAGAAGCTTATCCCTAAGCCACTGTGGAAAATTCCTCCCATCAGTAGAGCACTTCACACAGCAAGGCTCCCAAGCACTCTTGACCCTTCACAGTAACTCTGTAAGAAAGGCAATTATGTGTATTCTAGAACTAAAGGATTAAGTAGAGCAAAGAGAAAATGTGCAATATATTAGCAAAACAATAAGTTGTTTCAGTGCTTGATGTCCTCGATACAAAACTCAAGCTTTTTCTAACATACTACCAGAAAAAGAAGTCTGATTTTACACGTTCTACCTCTCCCAACACAGCTCTGGGAGTTGAGGCAGAAACTGGGGGACGGTGAGGGGCTTGGGGAAGGTTCTGTTTTTAAAGTCACCATTAAATTCATAAGCATTTTGAAAACGCAAATAATCAGCAATACAAATCCTAAGATAGATCTTTTCTTATCTAGTCCTTACTTGACTGTGTGCTAAATATTTCCTTGGTGAATCATCAGCAGTAGAGTATAAATGTCAGATTCTCTACTTGGGGTATATTCTAAATGTGTGCATGATTGTGTGTGTGTGTGTGTGTGTGTGTGTGTGTTGTGAGGGTATTACGTCCCACCCTACCTCACCTATCTCTGAAGTTGTCCCTAAATCCACCTTTGTTAAATTTAATTTGGGATATTAATCCACTGACCGAAATATTTATACATATACACACTTCCTAAAGAGAAATGGTAATATGGAAAAGGTATGCAATTTTATCCCAACGATCCTTTCTTTTTGTAGTGACAATTAGATACGAGGAGAAGAGAATAAAACCACCTAGAATAGTTTCCTACCTTGTGTATTTTATCAGGCTCCAAAGTGAATTCACTGTCAACGATTATGTTCCTCTGAAAGAAAATCTTCACAACATTGCTGGAAGCATACTTTGTTCACCACTCAAAAGAGACAGGGATTGATTTAGTCTGAAAAACTCTAAACATTGATTTAGTATGAGAGTCTGGATTCTTACTTTTATCACTGCTAGCTTAGTGACATTGGGAAAGCTGCTGCATCTTCTGGTTTTGAGTTTCCCCAGATGGGAAGTAAGAAAAAGGGTCCCAAGTTTATGCAAACTTTCATATTCTATGGCTTTCGAGTTTTGTGACATGAATTATGAAGTTAGTCCATACTTGATGTGATCAGCCCCCACTGCCCACTAAATTACAATGGTTTGGAGCCTTTTTTTCTACTGATTTAGAGGTATTGTTTGATTATTATAAGTGCTGGAGATTCCTCAGCTCTAGAGGTTTGGTTTTGGTTAGGAGATCCTAAGGGATTCCTCTCTCTTTCATCAGAGGCTTAAGATAACTTCCTCACCCAACTTTGTAATTTGCTCTCATTAGTTACAATGCTTTGTGTAACATGTAACTTGTAAAACTCTTCTGGGAGTCTCTTGAGATTTTAAACTTGCAGAGTTTATATCCTGCCCATAAACAATGCTTTCTGCTACTTTGTAAGTTTTGTTTTGGCAGAGAGGGTGAATAAAATTTGCAACCCTAACTGCTTATTCAATTCACTCTCTCACTGACAAAAATTCTCTCCTAGATCAGACTTTAGGCACACTCCTCTAAGCTCTCTTCTCCACTGGACTTCAAATTCAGGGTTCAGTGTCCATCGTTGTTGAGTCTGTACTACCTAATTGTAGCAAGGACCTTGCTAAGTGAGTTTGGAGAGAATCCCCTATCCTTGATATTCACTCACCCTCAATATCTAATCAAATTCCTCATCTTCTACCATCCTTTGGGTATTAGCTAATCACCCTGGCCTGTCTTCAGCAAGAGTCCCGTTAGAACAGTTTAGTGAGAATTTCCCTTTACTCCTGCTGTGGACTCCTATTCGCTGACTCTACTACCCATCCTTTGGCTATGGATCTCCACATTTCCATGCTGTATTCAAAATTGAGTCCAGTATTAAATGGAGGCCTGTTTCTCTCTATTGTAATAGTTCCTGAACAAAGTATATTTTGCTATCTTTACTGCATAGCTCTGGATTTCACTGACACCACTCACCACAAATATACTCATTATTTCCCTTTAATCACTGACTCCCTTTCTGGGTAGTTAAGAAAGACCTACAGTGTATTAAAAACTGCTCCAAGCATTGAAGGAGAACTCAGAAAAATACAAGAAATGATATCTTCTTACAAGGGGTTTATACTTCTTTGGAGGAAAGAAGGTCATGCCCATGAAAAGTGAATTGTAGGAAGCAGCACTGTAGGAAGCAGCACTGTAGTAAGCTGAGAACTACAACAATGATTAGATGAGGTAAGATTAAAAACAACTGGACCAGGTTGTCAGAAAGAGGTATAGAGGAGGGGTGTTGGAAAGACTTCTAAAAATAAGCACAAGTCAGTGGTGCTTGCTCATGGCTGTAATCCCATTGACTCAGGAGGCTGGGGGAGGGGGAGCATTGCCTTAGGGCAGGAGTTTAGACAAGCCTGGACAACATAGTGAGATCCCATCTCTAAAAATAAATAAAATAATAAACAAACAAATAAATAAATAAAATAGAGTGAAAACTGAGTTTCTGTTGTACTATAGGTTGTACTATCTTGTGGCAGTTCAGTACAAATACATCATTAGATGGAAAATAAGTATCTGAAAAGATATTCACCTGTATCACTTATTAGAAAATAAAAATTAAAAACAATATGATTCTACTATGTAAGTGTTCAAATACTTAAAATTAAGAAAAATATATTGACCATACCAGTGTTGGTGAGGATTTGAAAGAACTGTAACTCATACACTATTCTTAGAGATGTGTAAGTAATAAAATAGTCTCGAATTTTGAAAAATAATTTGTCAATCTCTTAAAAAGTTCAGTCTATTCAGGTTCCCAGGCATATAGTGAATAGTGAATAGTGAAAAATATTCACTACTTTTCCACCTTTCTTCTCTAAATACAACCAAATAACCTGTAAAGAATTAAATAGATCATCATAAAATGACTCTGAAGGGTAAAAAAGAAAGAGAAGGTGGACTGACCACAGGACTTGGAGAACACCACCATGGTAAGCTCCCTAGGATTTATTTTACCTCCCATAGATCCCAGACTGGGATGTGGAAAACCTTGAACTGTCAACAGGCATAGACAAAAACGAAGAAAGGAAAAGTAAAATTCATTGTCTTTGGTCAAAGGAAAAGGAAAAGAAAGCCAAACAGAGACTTAATAGGGAGACTCATCGCCAATGGCAATGAGAACTCTAATCTGTTCGTAGCTGCAATACTAAGGAAGCTTGAATCCTAATTCAATCCCTATCTCTCACCAGCCATTAAGACCTCATCTGCCCATAGTGACATGGTCAGCAGAGCCTAGAAGAGTAATCCATCCTCTGCCTCACACAACCTGACAGCAGCAGGATGATCATTGCCAGAAGAACCTGGGAAGCTCAGTTTGTCTCTTGGTCCAGTGTTGATTTGATAGGTGGTGAGCTCTTTGGTCCCAGAGTCTACGTCAACAAGGTCCAGGATGATTGCCAGAAACCTACTCACTAAGCCTAACAATGGAGACCTTAACATAATATGAAACATGCCAAGATACAATTGAAAATCACCCTTGATACCAAGAACCAAGAAAATATCAATTAAGTGAGAAAAGACAACCAACTGATGCCAGTACCAAGTGAACCAGAGGGTAGAACTGAAAATGATTTTAAAGTAGCCTCCATAAAATTGATTCAATAAGCAATTGCAAATTTCCTTGAAACATATAAAAAATAAAAAGTACAAAAGCAATAACAAAATGGGAATTACAGAAATGAAAAATATAATAAGTAATAGCTCAAGTTATTTCAGATCTGCTTGGGAAGTTCCCTTTATATTGGGGACTGCTAAATATTCATATATGGAGATAAATACCTAAATATTATGCATATTACTATTTTAAAATATTCCTGTTAGCTCATTTAAAAAATGTATTCAACAGAATTTAAATGCAACAGTAATCTTCTATTTTACATCTTCCATCAAAAACATATCTTATTTTTCTTTTGGAACATTTTTAATACACACACACACACACACAAATGTATATATATATTTGTGTGTGTGTGTATATATATATATGTATATATATATATGTATATATATATATACACATCTTTGGTTGACTGCCTTATACTTCCTATAA